TTTAACATCTAGAAAATATTTATTTTATTAATATTTTTCCTATTTACAGTTTACTCTCTCTGTAATGGACCATTTGGTTTACTGTAGATAATAATAATAATAATAATAATTTATATATGGACATATAAATTGGCTTAAATTCTCGGTCCATTATTATTATGGAAAGATCCATTATAGAGAAAGTGAACTGTACCTTATTTTCTAACTGCTTCATCTTCATTCCCAGATATCATTGCATGGCGTTTTTCGTTTTCTACATTTCAATTAATATGGATGATGCATTTTTTAACACTGCACCTTTGAAATGAATTTCTACACAAATCTTCATAAGGAAATAAGCTCAGATAAAAAAAAGATATAATTTTTTATTTTTATATTTTCTTGTGCATGCATCCCAATCTCTCCTTTGTTTCATAAATTGTTCCCAAGGAGCTAAAATTTTCTTTACTGAATACAAATTAAGCTCACGCACACTCACTTACTGCTAAACTCTAACATTTCTTATATTAATATTAATAACGTGATACATGATTGGGTATTCAGGATCAACTAATTTTAATGTAGACCTATACATAATTTATCATGCGCAAAAGCTTTTTATAATTATTATCAAATTATAGGAAATAATTATGAATAAGTTACTTTGCAATAATAAACCTTCAATAATACAGTAACAATAGAGAAAAAGCAAAAAATATTTATCAAAATATTTTTCTGTTCAGGGACAAGAATTAAAAAATTTATTACAACATAATTATGATTTAGTTTTAAATAAAAAGATAAATAGTGAAATTAATCAACCTTATCAATGTTTTCACTACTAGAATCTAATGTTTATTAATTATTGTTAGTAATAATCAGTGGAATTAATTAGTAACATGTTTATTAATTGTTTTAATAAAAAAATAACTACCATGCTTATTATTGATGGTAGGACTTAAGGTTCTCGAGGATCTATCAAAATACTATAACCTTGAGAATTTGAAAAAAATGAAGTATCCAAGAATTTTCTTGGAATTGCAGCTTTTAACTGTTCATCATTTAAAATGATTGTTTTACTTTCTGGTCGTCTTCCTATCATTGTATATCCAAAATTTACCAAAATATCTTTCAAATACCATGGATTCACTGCAATTCTTCTTGCAAAACCCCACGTATCCAAACTTCTGGATCCAAATAAACACACAAGAATGGCTCCGATGACACCTATTGGTTACCGAAACAAAAGAAAGATTTATACAATTTCCAACTTGTTACGCTATTCAAATTAAATATACAAACCAAAGGCACCACCAGCTGATGCAATGGTACTTAGAATAGTAGTTGTGCTATATTATGATTCATAAATAATATAAATAAATTGTATTCGTAGTGATATTTCTAATATACTCTGTTTAAACTATATTGTTAACTTGCCGTTTTTCAGAAATTTCTTCTTGTACAAAATCCCCAGCAGCAACTGAAAAATAGCCATTGGTTCCATCTGGTACAGGTGGATTCTGGTTAAGGGGAAAATAATTGACTATGCAATCATATCTCGGAGTAATTGCATAGTTGGGCCCAAGTCCAATGATGGCAGAAACGTCCAAAGGTGGTATGCTTTTATATATACTTGTCTTGAACTTGATCTAAAAGTAGATGACAAAATTAAGCATACATGAATAACTGGAAAACAATCAATAATTATGTGAAAAGATTCTACCAATGAAACGTGTCCTATTATTCCAGGCATAAAGTTCCAGTCAAGTTCAAGTCTTGATCGAACAGCTTTATCCATTTCACTGACATCCAGTAAGTCTATTTAAAAGGTATCAAAAAAATTAGCAATTTTGATAATTTATTCTTCGGTTAATGCCAAATTTGTTTTAAAGAAGCTGATCTTTAGGTTTGTTAGAAAAATGGAGTATAATAATAATTAAAATTTACATAAAGTATAAGATGACCATCTATCTATACTAAAATAATTTTACTAAAAGGTATGCCGGTTCAAATATAATTATCCCTATATAGTTATCAGGAAATTAGGAAATTTACTGACCAGGTGAAGAAACTCTTATTTGAATTAAAGCTACACCAATCTTTTCTTTCACAGCATCCGTTGCATTATCGATCTTATAATAAAATTTTAACTTGTTCAAGTCATCGGGATTTCCATGTATATACTGTATGGTTTTGTTGGCTTTGAAGGTATAACAACAATACTGATCACCACCGCCCTCAGTGATGTTAGGGCCAGAAATGTATTTTTGGCATCCATTTTGGATGTTGGTTGAATTATTAAGTTTGGTATCACAGCGTAATATTTCAAAGAAACCTGAAGAACAAATATCCATATCTATAAATAACAAATGATGTGAGTTTATTGTAAATTTAGTTTTACTTGTTGATGATAAACTTAACTCGGGACATCTATATTGTTTACAAAATTGTATTTTGTAATAACCATTGGGTATTCTGTAGCAAGTTGGATTATTAAATAAATCGAGTATGAAACATAGCAAAGAGCAGCCAATACATATATGAATTTGCGAAAAATTTTAAATTTTGGTAAGTTGTTGTCGTTGCATTTCTATGAAGAAATTTAAATATATTAAATCCATATTGAAATTTGTGACTATTGCAAATTTAAATTTTGCACTAACTTTAATTATAGTTTCTTTATCATCTTCAACCATAATTTCTTCATCATCTAGAATATTATCTTCAATTATAGTTTTTCCACTACCTGGAATACTAGCAGTAGTCATGGCTAATATATTGGACAAACAGGAAGCATAAATGTGAGAACTTTTTCAGAATATATAAAAACGACTACTACTAACACAGTGATGCAATATTCCATAGAGTGTGGCTTTTTACAATTCGAAAATTCTGTTATCTCGGAAATTCACGGATCTTTGTTTTTTTTAATAGCTTACTGCGTATTAGAGAAAAAAGTTTGACGTATTGTAATGCATTATTAAAATTTGAAAATTACTTGCAACATTCTCTAGAAAATCAAGCTCTGAAAAGCTCCATTGGAATTAACTGATCTAATTCTTAATTCAGAAGGTGCTAATCGAAAATAATGAACCGATACTGAACACCTTTGTCAATGAATATTGTAATAAACGTGTTGTTAATTCCATAATACTTAAACGTCAAGCTGAAACGCGTTTTCTGGGTTTATTAATATCAAATAATTCAGAACCTTCAGGTTTTGAGACATACACTTGACGAAACCTAAGGTGATAACGTATTGAAAATTAATGTTCCAATTCCATGATTAAAGTTTCTGAACAACCCATCTATCTTCTTTTTTGTCTTCGATAAAAAAGAATTTGGTGAAAAGTACGTTATATTTGACAATGGTCGAGGAAATCTTTTTTTGCATGTCCGAATCACTTGATTATATCTTCTGCGCTTATAGACACTTATTAGGGTTACAATGATGAATTTAAATCATACAAAATTGGCACCCTTGCAGGATTAGGAACATCAGCAGGCATTACATTTAATGAAATTAGTCCAGGCATAGTTTTTCAACATATGAGTATAGCAATTTTTTTTTGGGCCCACGTATCACAACTTAATATTGTGTAAAATAAATAAAGGAAATAAATAACTGTTGTTCATTTTTTTTTCAGAAATTAACAAATGCTTTTATTGTCTATCGAACGATGGGGGAAAAGTCGAAACGTCACAAATTAACGGTTTCTCGGGTTTCAATTTTAACGGAAAACTAGTGAGGTGCCTCTCCATGTTTGAGAACATTATAGATATTTAGTTTGTGACGCTGAAATGCATTGAAATACAATACCATTACAATAAGGATAAAGGTAAAGATGTGCTTATTATTGCAAAGTAACTTAATCGATCAATATTGATATTATAAAAATTTCCATAGCTTTTGCGTAAAATTTTCATTTGATAATAACTATACACTAAAATTACTTGACCCCGGAACATAAATATAAAAAAAGTATATAAATGAGATTTATTTATAATAAATTACGCTCATAATAAAGCTGTCACCAGCAAACCTTTATCCTTTTGATACAGCTAATCTTCTTAATTCGATTGATGAATAATACCGATGGTGAATTTTTAAATTTTTTTACCAATAATGACAATTGATAATAAATCGTTTTTCTAAAAAAAAAAAATCAATTGAGTCAACAAAAAAAAAAGCACATTTATTAAATATTAATATGATTCTTATTATTTTAACTAGAGTGACAACGAGTGATAATAGCCGCCACCACCATTCTTATGATAAACACTTAATCGCATGTATCCTTTCTTCCAGTTTCTCGTTTTCTTTGGATTCTAACAGACATTATTATTATTTAGAAAAAGAATTGTTATTTGATCAACAAACGCATACACATTAATTATTTATGGAACCCTATTGTTATACATTACTAGAATGATGAATTGTTATTAATTAATAATGATTAGGTAAGTCATACCTTTTTGATGATTAATTCTTATATTTTTATATTTACATTCATATATGAATGTAGTAACAATAAATTTGGTACAACTCAAAATTGCATTACTCAGATAATAATATTAGAGCCATGCATAAATGAACTTTAAAAGAAGAATTTTTAAAATAATATGGGAGATGATGGTGAAGCTCTTCCCCCTCTGAACACAAATTCTTAAATTCATCCAAGCTTGATTAATTACTTCTTTTAAATTATCATTAGCGGGGGGTGTTCAGACTTATAAATGCCCCACTTCATTTCTAAAAATAAATATACTAGATTCAATATTATGCTTTATTGGCGTTGAATCTAATAAATACACTTTACGAGTTAGTGTCATTGATTCGGTATAATAACACCAAAGATGTTATTGATCCTCATTCTAACACTTGTATGAAAAATGAAATCATTGCTTCATGAGACTTTATCACCAATTAGTGAGCTTTGATTATTGACAGAATTAAGGAGGACGTTCACAACACATTGTGACCAAATTGGCGACTTTGATAAGTTGTGGCCACGAAGTGCTTCCAGTCTCTTAATTCACATATTCACCACAGGCCCTGATCCACATCAGCTAGCTTTTCGGTTGGTATAGAGAAGGACGTTCACAATAGTTTGTCCACCATACATTAGGGCTGGTTACCTAATTGGCATCTTTCAAAAGTTGTGGCCACGAAGAGCTTCCAGTTCTCTATTTACTAAATTCCTAGTGGCAGATAAGCAACAACTCAATGTGAGAAAAAAAGTACCATCATCTTTCAAGATGATTTACATTGATTATTTTCCTTTAGTATGGTAAATAATTATTTTTTTTAAAAGAAATATAAGAATGAATTTATTATTACGTATTTTTTTATATTAATATATTAATATTTTAAAAAAAGGCTCTGTTTCATCATCTATTGGTAATGCCAGATAGCGATCTAACTCTGATACTGAATGTGTTGGAGCAATCTGTGGTGTAGTTTGATTACGTCGAAGTTGAGTGAAAAATTGACGAGTTGTATTTGTGGTGGTGGATCCTGAAAATGTTTTTGCAATGCTTTTTTTTCAAGAAGAAAATTTTTTTTATTATCCTATTAAAAGATACTATATTTGTAAATTTGAAAATAACAAACACATATAACTTACTATTAATGTTATTATTATTATTATTGACATTACCACCACTGTCTATTATTTTATTATTATGACTATTACAGTGGTGGTTCACATTAGAAAATAATCATAGATCCACTGGAGTTGGAGTGGAAATGGGAGTGGAAGCTGCAGTTGTCAGTTGAAGTAGGAGCAGCAGTTGTACCGTTGAAGTTGGACAGACAGCTGAAGTGAGTGGAAAGAGTGGCAGTAGTGGACGGACGTCCAACTTGTTGATTTCTTCTGCTTCGTGGTTGTTTTGTAGTGTAATTTAGCATGTTGTAATCGAAATTTATCATTTAATCCCTTTTCCTGGGCCATCAAAAATATATTTTCTGGCTTATAAAGCACATATCATTAGGAAGCCTAAGTTAACACCAAAGTAATTTGAAATATAACAAGTAATTCCGAAGTTAGATGAGAGGTGTTTCCAACATTCCTGCATTCGAGAAAATAAATATATTTTTTAAACTTGTTATAAACTATATACAATGTTTTTATATAAAAGATAAATTCTATATATTTTATAATAAAAAAATAAAAAAATATTAAATTGAAATTGATTCTTTATTTTCCTCCTTGCATCTTGTCTGATAGTAAGTAAAAGCTAACAAATGAATTCTATTTTTATATCACTAAGGTTTTTCTTCTCAAACCGTTTGAAAAGAAAAAAATATTTGACATAGAAAATTTTAAAAATCTACTTATTATTAGATTTTAGATGCGCTTCATTTGATTCTCGGGAAAAATTATTTACGTAATCTTGGATAGATTTTTTAATAATCAAAGTTTTTTCTTTCCAAAATGGTCGGTTTGTTTTTTATTATTATTGAACTGTATATAAATGCTAGAAATTTAAATTTTATATTCATGTATTTATTTATTTATTTATTTGTTTGTTTTATGTCAACCATCATCCTATGTTTTGTTTAATAAATAAATTATGAATTACGAATTAAAATAAATTTCGTTATTAAATAATTGTTGTTACCTTTCCTTCCACAAGTAATGAATTCATGGCCGATTCTGGGTGACTCTCTCAAGTGAACTCTAATTGCGGCTGTAGCCGAAACACACTATCCATGATCAATGTTGTTTGACGAAATGTTACCAAAGTTAACTATTACGTCAATTTGCCGCTATTAAGACGCAAGCAAAAATACTTGTCCCAATCTCTCCTTTGTTTCATAAGTTGTTCCCAAGAAGCTAGATTTTTCTTTACACACTCATTCACTACTAAACTCGAACATTTCTTATTTTAATATTAATAACGTGATATATGATCGGGATAGATTAGGAATGAATAATTACGTACTTTAATACATAATTTATTATGCGCAAAAGCTTTTTATAATTATTATCAAATTATAGGAAATAATTATGAAGTTTTTATAATATTCATATGAATAAGTTACTTTGCAATAATAAACCTTCAATAATACAGTAACAATAGAGAAAAAGCAAAAAATATTTATCAAAATATTTTTCTGTTCAGGAACAACAATTGAAAAATTTCTTATGATTTAATTTTAAATAAAAAGATAAATATTCAATTATAGTGAAATTAATCATCAACCTTATCAATGTTTTCATTTATCATTATACTAGAATCTAATGTATGTTAATTAATTAAAATTATTGTTAGTAACAATCAGTGGAAATTAGTTGGTAAGCTTATTAATCGTTTTAATAAAAAATAACTACCATGCTTATTACTGATGGTAGGACTTAAGGTTCTTGAGGAATCCTATAACCTCAAGAATTTGAAAGAAATGAAGTATCCAAGAATTTTTTTGGAATTGCAGCTTTTAACTGTTCATCATTTAAAATGTCCGTACTACCTTCTGGTTGTTTTCCTATCATTTTATATCCAAAATCTACCAAATTATCTACCCAATACCATGGATTCACTGCAATTTTTCTTGCAATACCCCATGGATCCAAAATTCTGGATCCAAATAAACACACAAGAATGGCGCCAATGACACCTATCGGTTACCAAAAAAAAAAAAAAGATTTACACAGCTTCTAACTTGTTAAGCTATTCAAATTAAATATACTAACCAAAGGCACCACCAGCTGATGCAATGGTACTTAGAATAGTGGTTGTGCTATATTATGGTTCATAAATAAGATAAATAATTGTATTCATAGTGATGTTTTTAATAATACTCTGTTTAAACTATATTCTTAACTTACCGCTTTTCAGAAATTTCTTCTTGTACAAAATCCCCAGCAGCAACTGAAAAATAACCATTGGTTCCATCTGGCATAGGCGCTGGATTCTGGTCAATGGGAAAATAATTGACTATGCAATCATATCTCCGAGTAATTGCATAGTTGGGCCCAAGTCCAATGATGGCAGAAACATCCCGAGGTGGTATGCTTTTATATATACTTGTCTTGAACTTGATCTAAAAGTAGATGACAAAATTAAGCATATATGAATAACTGGAAAACAATCAATAATTATGTGAAAAGATTATACCAATGAAACGTGTCCTATTATTCCAGGCATAAAGTTCCAGTCAAGTTCAAGTCTTGATCGAACAGCTTTATCCATTTCACTGACATCCAGTAAGTCTATTTAAAAGGTATTAAAAAAGTTAGCAATTTTTACAATTTATTCTTCGGGTAATAACAATTTTTTTAAAGAAGCTGATCTTTCAATTTGTTAGAAAAATGGAGTATAATAATAATTAAAATTTACATAAGGGGAATCATCAGTAAAAGATGACCATCTATCTATCTATACGAAAATAATCTTACTAAAAGGTATGCCGGTTCAAATATAATTATCCCTATATAGTTATCAGGAAATTTACTGACCAGGTGAAAAAATCCTTATATTAATTAAAGGTACACCAATATTTTCTCTCACAGCATCCGTTGCATTATCGATCTTGTAATAAAATTTCAACTTTTTCAAACCATTGGGATTTCCAAGTATATACTGTATGTCTTTGTTGGCTTTAAAGGTATAACAACGTTTCCGATCACCACCGCCCTCAGTGATGTTAGGGCCAGAAATGTATTTTTGGCATCCATTTTGGATCTCGTTTTCATTATTAAATTTGATATCACAGCGTAATATTTCAAAGAAAGCTGAAGAACAAATCTCTATGTCTATAAATAATAACAGATGTGAGTTTATTGTAAATTTAGTTTATTTGTTGACAATAAACTTAACTTGGAACATCAATGTTATTTATATAATCGTATTTTGTAATAACCATTGGGTATTCTGTTGCAAGTTGGATTATTAAATAAATCGAGTATGAGACATAGCAAAGGACAGCCAACACGTATGCACATATGCGAAAAATTTTAAATTTTGGTAAATTGTTGTCGTTGCATTTCTATGAAGAAATTTAAATGTATTAAAATCCATATTGAAATTTGTGACTATTGCAAATTTAAACTTTGCACTAACTTTAATTATAGCTTCTATATCATAATCATTATTAACTTTTGTTTTATCATCACTATTAGTTTCTGTTTTATCATCACTATTAGTTTCTGTTTTATCATCACTATTAGTTTCTGTATCATCGTCATCATTATTAACTTCTATATTATTTTCGACCACAGTTTTTTCATTATTCTTGGCTTCTCTATTATCTTCAGCCTTAGTTTCTTTATTATCAACATCAATTATAGTTTCTCGATTATCTGGAATGCTAGTAGTAGTCATTGTTAATATACTAACAAACAGAAAGCATAAATGGAATAACTTTTTCGGAATATATTACAACGACTACTACTACACAGTGATGCAATATTCCATAGAGTGTGACGTTTTACAACTCGAAAATTCTGTTATCTCGGAAATTCACGGATCTCTAATAACTTACTGTGTATTAGAGAAAAAAGTTCGGCGTATTGCATTATTAAAGTTTGAAAATATAAAAACATTACTCGCAACATTCTCTAAAAAAATCAAGCTTTGGGAAGCTCCATTGGAATTAATTATCTAATCCTTAATTCATAAGGTTCTGAGATGATACTGAGAATAGATATTGTAATAAAAGTTTGATAAAATCAATCAATGAATTAACCAGATAAATTATTTTACCCTTGATGCTAATAAAAAACTAAGTTAACCAATTATTTGCTCTAAATCCATTTTGATTTTAAGTTTTAAAAACAAACAACGAAAAATGTTATTTATTTTTTTTTATTGATTTCTCATTGATGTTTAGTTAAACCCATTAAAACAAAAAAAACAAAGATTCTTTGTTTTATGTCTTTTTTTGATTTCAATAAATATGCGAAGTTTTTTAAATGAAATAATTAATTTGGAAATTGTTTTGTCGTAAATATTTAAAAAAAAGACATTATACATGTCTAAAACGGGGTTTTTTTAATCATCAACAAAAATGTTAGATTGAGCGTAATTACCTCGATTCTTTATTTGACGCAAGTAAAAATAATTTAAATCTGCTTAGCAATTTAAATTTAGCGATGCCATTGATTCCATACATAGTACACAGACGTGTTTTCTGGGTTCATCAATGTCAAATAATTCAGGAACTTCAGGTTTTGAGACTATACTTGACGAAACATGGGGTGGTAACGTATTGAAAATTAATGTTCCAATTCCATGAGTAAAGTTTCTGGACAACTAAATCTATCTTCTTTTTATTCTTCGATCTAAGAGAATTTGGTGAAAAGTGTGTTATATTTGACAATGATCGATGAATCTTTTTTTGCATGTTCGAATCAATTGATGATGCACTTCCTGGACAAAAGTTTCGGTCATCATAAAACAATTAATTGCACATAAAATTTTTTATTAATTGTGATTAAGGTTCTTATGTTTGACCAAAAATGGAAACGATCTCTAAAATTCAAAAGTTTCGGTCACCATAAAACAATTAATTGCATAAAAACATAAATATAAATAAATTTTAATCGTAATAAAAGCACTCAAGGGTATGTATGCGAAATTTCAAGCTTTTATAACTTCTAGAAGAATAACAGTCAAAAAAATAAAAAGTTCAACCAAAAATCTTCTGAAAAATCATAAAAGAATTAATGATGCAGGGCATTAATTTTTTAATATGGTTGGCTAATTTTGATGATCCAAACATTAGTTTCTATTTGTAATGTATAAATTCTTATCTACTTTTTTACTTGTTTTATTTGTTTATTCGATCGAATTCGAATTATTCATTTTATTCTTTTATTCGAATTCTAATTATTTGTTTTTATTTTATTATTTTATTATTTTATTCCTTTTATTTGTTTATTCAAATAAACTCACATTGTAATTCAAATACTCAAATTCATAAACCTTATCTGACTGAATACGATAAATGATTGAGTCATATAATATTGCCATTTTGGATTTTGAAAATTTGGCGCTCGACGCAGCATTTGATGGTGCGCACTATATTTATCAAAAAAAATTTTTGTCCATGCCATTTTTGCACTATTTCAATCTTCATTGGAAATTATGGGTCAACTTTTTTACTATTACTATTACGCGGAATTTACAAAATAATGGCTCGTATTTTTTTTTATGGCATAATGTGTTTTTTCTCAGCTGATTCTTTTTTATTATTATGTTCTCTACTAAATGTGTTATCCGATTTTTATTTTGGCAACTCATTTGCATCCAACTCCCCCGCTTCTACCCTTTGTTTTAGATCAGCAAGTATTGTTTCAGAATTCTTCTCGTCTACATTTTCTAACAAAAACTGGCTTCTAGAAGTTGTTTTACTTGCTCAGACATACATTTACTTTTATACATTTTCCAAAATTTTGCTTCACACAAAAATTCCAACCCAGTTCAAAGTGATTTATTCTAAAATTTCAAAATTCGTTAGTTTAACATCTAGAAAATATTTATTGTATTAATACTTTTCCTATTTACAGTTCACTCTCTGTATTACCGTAGAAAATAATAATAATTTATATAATTGGCTTAAATTCTCGGTCCATTATCATTATAGAAAGATCCATTATAGAGAAAGTGAACTGTACCTTATTTTCTGACTGCTTCATCTTCATTCCCAGATATCATTACATGGCGTTTTCTTATTAGATAGATGATGATAATAATAATGTTAACATATTCAAAATTTCATACCAATTATATAATGCTTTTTTGAAAAAAAATGAGGATTGTGAAGGTCTCTGTGGTATATAACAAATTAAAAAGATTTAATTCAGTGACAGATTACAAAAGTATCCCACTTCATGTTTCTGGATAGTTGTGCATCAGCTATTATTGAATATGGAGGCAATCCAGCGGACTTTTTAAATCCAAGAAATTCATTATCACCATCAACTTCTCCATGGGTGTCCTTTGGAATTATCTTCTTTATTAGCTTCCACCCCACGAACACATTTGGTATTATAACAGAAATAACATAAGGAAGTGGTGAGCATAATTGGTTTTATCAAGAAGATTTGTTGAATGGTTAATAACAAATTAATGATATTTCATCTCAATAGCTTTGAGAATGTTACACCATATGCTGACACCACTATATTACTAATTAAGGTTAATGTTAACATTAAATTAAGAATAGATAAAAAGTCTGTGTTCAGTTTTTATAATGAAAAGTCATGTCTGTGTTCAGATTATTACAAAAAACCTTGTCAATTTTAACCTAAGAAACACAAGTAAGGAAATTGTTTGGATAAAAAAACTACGAACCTTTCTTATACAGTGCGGATCATCTATACTCAAAAGTTAAAATTTTTGAAATATTATGTGATCCACACATTAGATTTTAAAAAAC